GAAGGCAAGGCTAACCTTGCCAGTGTCCTTCTGGAAGGCCCTCAAAGCCAGACTTTCTGGCTTCTGAAAACTCCCACGATCTTGCTACGGTGGGCTCTCTTTCCCACCTGACAACTGTTTGCTGGGATGGCAGAGCGAGACCCCTGGCAGTCTATGAATCAGTGTCTGTGTAGGGTTTTCCGCCCACCCCCAACTTCCCCAAGCTTCATTCAGCTACCTTGCCTGTGTGACACCCTTGACCTAGGACATGGAGGTGGTCACGGGCATGGACATGCTCTCAGAGTGGACACAGCAGGGCAGGGTGAACCACCGTGTGGTTGCCTGGGGCAACCCTTCTCTGAATTACCCAGCTAGGCTCCTGTTGCTATCTGCAGCCTTCCCTAGGCTGAGGGCCTCTTGCCTCCTTTGGTTGTGAGTGGGGACAAGACAGCCCCTGCCTACCTGTGGCCGTTAGTCTGGATCTTGCCTTTATTCCTTTGATGCCTGAGGGGTTTGTGCTGGGGTCCCTTCCCAGCTGCTGTCCCTGGGGGAGTGGGGGGGGGGCAGCAGGGAGGGTGTGTGTGTGCTTGGATAGTGGCCTCTGCCCTCCAAGGCCTCTGTTCACTGGCCCACTCACTCTGGCAGGTGGTGACGGCTGACGTCCTGCAGTTGGCGCGGATCCTCATCCTGCACATGGTGAGCAGAGGCGGGTGAGCTCTGCAGGTGCGCCGGGAACTGGCCCTGGCCTCCTGCAGCTGGTGCACCTTTCCGTTGGGTTACTTCACAGTAAAAAGGTTTTCCTAACCAGGGGGGTGTTGGGTCATTTTCTTTCTGAAAAGGGGGGGCGGGGCGTAGGCCAAACAAGTTAGGGAACCTGTGATCTAGAAAGATCTGCTCTGTGCCTTTACCAAGTGACTTGCCCCTTGCTGGGCCTCAGCTTCCTCATCCGCAGAATGAGATGGCAACCGTTCCTCCTTTATTTGGCTGGGCGGAGAGGATCCCTAGGAATACTTTAAGACAGGGCCTAGCTTGTGGTCAGTGCTCAGTAAGTGGCTTCCTAGGGTTCAGTGAAAATCCCAGCTGTAGATCTTTATAGGGTTGCTATGAGCCCTGGCAGTACCGTGGTTCCGCATTGGGTTCTGCAACCCACATGGTCATCAGTTTGAATCCACCACTTGCTCTGCGGAAGCAAGGTGAGGCTCTCTAGTCCCACAACGAGTTACGGTTTCCGAAACCCACAGGGGCAGCTCTACCATGTCCGATAGGGTCACTCCAAGTGGGCATCGACTTGAGGGCAGTGAGTTTGGTTTTGGGTTTTGGTAGAGGTTTACAGAGAGTGCTCTTCTTGTTTCTGTGATGAACGTTTTACTGAGGCCATGGTTCGCATGCACACAGACTTATATACATCAAACAGACCAGTATTGGAAAGCAGTAATGCTGAGAGAAGAATCTGGTCCTGGTCAGCTTTGCCCGGACCACCCTCTAGTGATAACATTTTACAGCGCCATCATTGACCACCGCCAGGCCATTGACATTGGCGCACACCCCCATCTTAGTCAGATTTTATATTTAATTATTCTCGTGCACGCACGCATGTGTGCATGTACATATTTTATCTCCGTCTTTTTAGGATGGTCCTCTTTGTGTGTAAAAATAAAGAGAAGATGAATAAACATTTGATGGGCTATACATCAAGAAAGGGGCAACGGTTATTGTCCCTCAGGGATTTTTTCTTTTTGGCACGCCTGACTAACTAAAGCTCTCTGATTTTTGTTTAAAACAAGAATCCCATTGTCTGGAAATGGTGAGAGAGACACTTGTTTGGCTGCTGGGGCCCCAGGGGCTCTCTCACCAGCCCCTGCTCCCACCAGGGCCGAGACTTCCCCTTGGATGACTGCGGCCGGGCCTTCACCTGCCTCCCCGTGGAGGACCCACAGGCCCCCGTGGAGGCTGTGGTCTGCAACCTGGACTGCTTGCTGGACATCATGACCCACCGGGTGAGGCCACACAGCGGCAGACAGGTGTCTTCCAGAAGAAGCTGGCTGGGGGGAGCCCAGGGTTCCTTAGAGCTTTGAGAAGTTAGTCTTGGCCACCGCTGGGGTCAGAGGGAGAATCAAGTCAGCTAGGGGAGGGCTAGCCTCAGCCCTGGGACCAGAGAGCTGCAGACCTGGCAGAGCAGGCTGGAACCCAGGCTGGGGTCGGGGAGCAGAGAGAAAGAGAGCTGAACCAGGCCACCAGCTGCCCTCTCTCTCTCTGCAGCTGGGCCCAGGCTCCCCCCCAGGCGTGTGGGTCTGCAGCACTGACATGTTGCTCTCCGTGCCTCCAAACCCAGGTGAGCTGGGACCACCCTCCTGAGCCAGAGCCCCGGGCTCCATCTCTTCCCCTCCCTCACATCCCTGTTCCAAGAGGAGAAGGAAGCAGGCCCCTAGAGGCAGGGCTCCCCCTGCTGGGCCTCAGAAC